CGGGTAGATGGACAACAGATACATGAAATGGACCTAGATTTTTGGGTCGATGCAGATGAGAAATTAAAAGTAGATACATATACCACGTGTTTCTTTTATTTGATACAACCCCCGAAATTTTTTTATTTAAAAAAATAAACATATAGTTCTTTGACCAAATTTGTATCATTTTAAAAGATCATCTATGTGGATATATGACATGAGTATCAATTTTTCAAGCTACTAGATTGTCATCAATTAATATGAATTTTTCGTGTATTTTATTTAATAACTTTTTAAGTATTGATTTTAGAAATATTACTTGCCTGTGATTTTTAGAAAAAATCAGTCTTTCCATTTATGAAAAAATATCCCTAGGGTTCCATAAAAAAAAATAAAGATGATGTCATTTCCGGTTCTACCGGAAATAATAATGTAAATGTGAGGTTGCCATCACATAGATCTTTTAAAATGATACATTTGCTCAAAGAATTACAGGTTTATCTTTAAGAATAAAAAAGTTACAGGGGTTGTGTCAAATAAAAGAAACACCCTGTATAGTGGGGGTTCTAGATCATTCTTATGGAAAATTTATATGGGAAAACGTGAAATTTCAGAATTATTCCACAACGTTTTACACATGTACAATTTCTATCTAAAAAGGCGTTCACCTGAACAAAACTGCAGCCCAAAAAAATTGGTCTAAAGAGTTTAGACAGTACTTCCCTCGCTGTCGGAAACGTGACGACTGCATGTCTATTATGTTTTTTTTTCGCAGTAGATTTCATTTTTTTTTTTAGTCACCCGGTATATGCAAATTCAAAAAATATGAATGGAATGATAAATAACAAGTACAGACTCATCATATTTTGTATATTCTAGATAGGATTTATTCGGCAAACTTTTGAGCTGACGTCATCAGTTTTTTGTAGAAGATAACCAAATATATTTTGACTAAAAATTTATTATGCTCTTTATAACCTTAAAACATTTGCAAGATTTCAAAACATTCGGTTCTGGAGTTCCTGATTAAATCAATAAAATACATTTACCAATTCATTAATTTTTTTGGGTCACCTGTATATGCAAATCCAAAAACTATGAATGGAATGATAAATCACAAGTACAAACTCATCATACTTTTTGCGTTTTAGATAGGATTTATTTAGCAAAATTTTGTGGTGACGTCATAAATTTTTTAGGGGGGATGAGCAAATACATTTGGATCAAAAACTTACCATGCTTATGATAACTTTAAAACACCTTCAAGATTTCAAAGCATTCGGTTTTGTAGTTCCTGAGTAAATCAGTAAAATAAATTTACGCATTCATTAATTTTTTTGAGTCACCCTATAAATGCAAATCCTAAAAATATGAATGGAGTGATATATCACAAGCACAGACTCATCATATTTTGTACATTTTACATAGGATTTATTTGGCAAACTTTTGAGCTGACGTCATCAAGTTTTTGGAGGGGATAACCAAATATATTTTGAGTAAAGATTTATGATGCTCTTTATAGCCTTAAAACATCTGCAACAATTCAAAACATTCGGATTAGCAGATTCAAAATAAAATTGCAAAATGTTGTTTTATAATTTTGATATTTTTTCCAAAAATCTGGACGTTTCGGATAAAAACTCAATTCGGAGTCGTAAACTACATGTTTAGGACTATATTATTTTATACGATTTAAAACCCATTTACTATGTACAATTTTGAAGTGACGTCATCACATTAGTGGTGGGGATGATTAGACAAATTTTGGTTAGCGTTTTACCATCTACATGATATTCCTAATATAACTACAAAATTTCACAACAATCGGACCAGTACTTTCGGAGATTATCTGTCTAATAAAAATCCGGGACGGCAGACAGACGGACAGACGAACAGACGGACAGACGGACAGACGGACAGACGGACAGATGGACAGACAGACGGAAATGGGAGACCTATTTTTTCGTCTTCCAAGGGTCATGAAAAATCGAGAAAACGTAAAAGTAGAGAGTCGGTCGAGGGACTCGATTACAATACTTCCCTTGCTTACGCTCGGGAAGTAAAAATACAAAACCTATTCAAAAAATGTATCCAAGGTTATTTCAAAAGTCATCGTATTCACCGTTGTTTACTAAAGGTTTTTTACAATTTGAAGTTTTCTGCGAAAATTTGAATCCTGAGGAAAAAAACTCAAGGCACATTCATAAACCACAAGTGTGAGAATACATTATTTTATAAAAAATTAAATAGTATCCCGATAAAGTAATCCGGGACAAAACCGTACAGACAAAATCACCCCAGACAAATAGCTTCGTCAAAATAGCGCAAGATGACTAAAAGCGATTACAGGATTCAGGAACGATCTTGCAATAGTGGATTTACCTAGGTATTTATTCGGTGAACCTAACCTGACCTGACTTGTCGTGATCTGACTTGACCCGACCTGACATACTCTGGCTTGTCTTGACCTGACTTGAGCTGACTTAACTTGGCCTGACTTGTCTTGACTTGTCCTGACTTTTAATTTATTTTGTTCCAAAGGAAACATCTTCGTAATGCGGAAAAAATTACAAAAAAAAACTATTTTAAATTAACCAATCGCAGTAGGCTTCGAACGTAGGTTGCTCTAAGATTTTGTAACGTCATCATTTTTTTGAAGGAATAAACGCACAAATTTCGTAAAAACCTAATACACACTCTAAAACGATTATTGAAATTTCACAACCAAAAACTAAAATATACAGAAACTCAAAAATACCCCAAACACGTCCATTTCCAACAAAATCATCGCATCGCACGAAGCTCTACTTCCAGTTCCCCCAACCCATCCATCATCGTTCCTAATATCGTAATAAATCCACCAAATGCAGCTACTAAATTCAGCTGTACAAAAACGAGATCTGCAGGTTTGTTTTGGCAGCTATTAGCGTCCGACAAGAACGGGCTAGTTTCGTCCGTCTGTTGCAGGAATTGGTGAAGGCAATGACCCATTCAAATAAAGCCCTCAGGCCTCAAGCTTTCCCGACACTACTTGCGGTAGTGCAATTTACTGCGCACTTACGCACAACTCCGCCAATGTACTCACTCTTTCAACGTGCGACGACCATTAAAGCTGACAACGACGGCATAAATGCGATAAAAGAAATATACGACTCTTTATTCCAAAGCGAAGAATGTACTGCAAACGGCTTTGCAATTAACTTTTTAGGGGAAAATTGCCTCCTTAAACAACGTTAAAAATTAAGAGACCTGAAAAAAGTCTATTCATTAAAAAGTTTTCGAATTCCTCTTTATGTACGTCTGTTAAAGGTGGCCACGTACCGAGAAACCTTAGTAAATGAAAATGCCGTAGGTTGATATTTACGGTCTACTGTTCGACGAAAAAAAACCGAAATTAATCAAATACGTTATCACCAGTCAAACGAGGCAATAAATAAATTACAATAACACGCCCAAATACTTTTCATATTCAATTTTTAATTTACAATTTTATGACTTTTTAATTTGCTAAAATTAATAACACACAAACAGCGCTTGCTTCACTTTATCACAACAAAGTATTAAAAACATCTGTGTCGCGGTTTATGGTCTGTAAACACAGCATTTTCATGTTACGCACAATTGGTGCGATTTAAAAAATTAATTAAAACCATTTAGTGACACTTGAGTTATTATTTTTGAACTTTTATTAATATTTCGTGTAGACAAATCGACGTTTAACGTTTATAAAGAACTCGTTTCTGGTTAGTCGGCGCTACACCGACTGCTGTGATTATAAATAACAAAACGCGTTATCTTCGGTAGCCATCATAACTCACGCAGTTGAAATAAAAAGTAATTTCCGTTGGGTGTGGCTGACAGAATAAAATACATAAATTAGCAACAACTAGTCGTTTATATTGTTTTAAATAATCCACACTATGCGGTTTTCACACCCCGCTTATCGTTCCACCGACGAAGGCCAATTCTATGGCTTCCAAGGTACGATAAAGACGAAATATTGATACCCGAAGATCACACAGCCCCGCATGCCTAATTCAAGATTAACGAGGGTTAAATCGATTTGTGCCTAAGCATCTCTTATTGATGATAATCGACAGCGATCCCAGGTTTAGTGAATAAATGACGGTTCGGAAGGACCGAACTATTGTCATTGTTCCAGATAGGCCGTGATTAGTTTCAGACTTATGGCCACCATCATGCATTCTGTTATCAACCAGCACACGTGTAATTGTACCGATATTAGCCACCTGCTGCTGGTAATTTCCGGAATGAAGCCGATAGCAGTATTGTGGTACGTTTGTAAGGGTTGTCTTTCATCATTATTTCCTTTGGACAGTTTAATCGGGTCCAGTGGTCACACTCAAACCCGCTTTGATCCTTGCGACTAAGCTAAAGCGATGATTAGAGTGGCTATAAAGTTGTTTTTAAGACGATAATAGGAAACGGCGGAGTTAATTGTCGGTTGAATTTCTCCACAGCGGTAATAACGTGATAATTTCGAGCGTGCAGTAAACTTTACGCAAAAGGGGCGAAGGTGGATCGTCATTTTTTATTCATCCGTGTGGGCGGAAACGACTGTCATAGAAGTTATGGCTTCGTAAAAAATTATAGTGCAGCTAGTAATTGCCGCAATGCAATGACAGCAAATGGAGGACAATCATTTTACGTTTTTAATGGTACTATAATGGAGTTTTGTTACGAAAAAAGGTGGACCGAAAAATCGTGGACCGAAAAATCGTTTCTAAAACTATATATTTGTATCACGTATTTGGAAAAAATCTTGTTGCGTACATAACGCGAATATAAGGTTACGTTCTGCAAAATTTAATTTAGCGCCTCATTAGAATTTACGCCGTGTTGCTAGGTGTACTCTCAAGGTAAACTGCGGTGTTGGTGGTTTCGTAATGATTTATTTAAGCAAAATCACCCTCCTCGACACACGCCTCATACCGATCTACGAACTTTAGTACAGTTTGAAGTTCATTTTTGTTTAAATAATCTGAAGGGTGACTTACCTGAGCCTGCGAAGACTTTGTCTGCACCTGGAACAAAATAATAATGAGATTAATAACAATAATAAATGTCTTAGCTGAGTAAAAAAGATTATAACAGAGAATGTTTACTTAGTGAGGCGAACTCTAGAAAAAGACCTCCAAAATCAATCAAGAAAAGAGTCGTTTTTGTAAAATAATCGTGGTAAAAATCAAGGCGGATTCATGAAGCACAAATACAGGAGTATTACAATATTTTGGCAGTTGTGTTTTCGTATTTATTAATATTTCGCATATCATTTTATACTAAATAAAATCTAGTAGTTGCGGTCCTTTTTTTTTGATACCAGTACGTACCAAAACATGTCACTTATTTTATCTTGAATATTTATTCAAATATTTACATTTTTACATACATAACGTTAACAGAGCTTATCATTCACTCTAGACTTATTTCTGCAAAAATTGCACATAATGTAAATATTAATTCAGAGAGTTTTATGTTAAAAATAGCTACATTTACATGAAAAAAAAAAACATTTATTTCAAACTAGAAAATATGACGATAAATGTAGCGAATTCATGGGAAAATGATAAAATTTGATTTTGTGGAATTTTACTTTTTCGTGATAATCTCTAGGAAGTAAAAGCAATATAGAAGCTACTAGTCACAGTGTAATAGTTAGAAAAAAAGATTACACTTTCTTAAAAAAAAGGTAGTTGGGAGCCCTGAGAAGATTTAATATTCTTAAAAAAAGACTCTTGGGACCCTCGAGGAGGTTTCACATTCTTAAAATGAAACAGACATTTTTTTTCTTCAGTTTTTCGAATTTTCAAGTTTAAAATTTTCAAATTTCCAACTTGATTTTTTCAATTTTTATATTTTGCAATTTCTCGAATTTTCAATTTTTAATTTCTCACTTTTTGTATTTATCAATTTCTAGATGTGCAACTTTTCAATTTTTTTTGTTAGTACATACTTGCTAAGATAAGGCTGATTTCAGCAAATCACATACCCTCTAAAAAGATAGAGGGCGGGTGGGCGGGCCTAGTACATGCTAAAACAAAACTAATTTTGGCAAATCATATACCTTCTAAAACGACAGAGGGTGGGTGGGCGGGCCTAGTACATGCTAAGATAAAAAACTAATTTTGGCAAATCATATACCCTCTAAGAAAATAGCAGGTGGGTAGGCGGGGCGAGTACTTGCCAAGATAAGATTGAATAATATTAAGAGTAGTCACTGGAATTGACTTGCTTGCTTATAAAACTCTTTAGAAAAACCTAAACTCAGCTCCGCTCACCTCTTGTCTAGACCATTTCACTGATTTATTTTATTTACTGTAAAATGTGAATTGAATTCTATTTTAACAAGCAGTAGAATCTAAGATTTAAAAGAAAGTAAAAAAGCCTCCCTTCCACCCACCCACCCTCATTCCGTTTTCATCAATCATTCTTATGGACTCTAAAGAAAGAATTTCACCAGTTTTTAATTTTTGATTATTCAATTTTTTGACTTTTCAATTTCAAAATTATAAAATCGAAAGAAATATTGAAAAAATAAAGGCATTGCAAAACGGACAAATTGTGATATAAAATGGAGAAAATGAAAATAAAAAAATTGAGAATATGAAAAACGAAAATCAAGAACTTGAAAAATTGAGGAAATGAAAAAAATTAAAATTAAAAAATCGAAAAATGAAAAACTGCAAAATCGAAAAATTGTAAAATTTGATTTTGTGGAATTCTACTTTTTCGTGATAACCTCTATGGAGTAAAAACAATATAGAAGGTACTAGTCATAGTGTAATGGAAAAAAAAGGTTTCATCTTCTTAAAAAAAGACAGTTGGGAGCCCCGAGAAGATTTAATATTCTTAAAAAAAGACACTTGGGGCCCCCGAGGTTTCGTCTTCTTTAAAAAAGGAGAGTTGGGACAGTGAGAAGCTTTCACATTCTTAAAAGAGGCATTTGGGGCCCATGAGAATGGGTTTTACATTCTAAAAAAAAAAACATTTAGCGCCGCCGACGTTTTACATAAAAAAAAAATGGGACCCCGAGAAGGTTTCACATTCTTTAAAAAAATACATTTGAGGCCCATGAGAATGTCTTACATTTTTAAAAGACAGTTGGGTTCCCCGAGAAGGTTTCACATGAAAAAAGACATTTGGCGCCCCAGAGAAAGTTTTACATTTTTAAAAGAGACAGCTGGAACCCCGAGAAGGTTTTACATTCTAAAAAAAACATTTGGAGCCGCCGAGAAGCTTTTACATTAAAAAAAAAATTGGTACCCCCGGGAAGGTTTCACATTCTTAAAAAAAATACGCTTGAGGCCCCTGAGAAGGTTTTACCTTTTTAAAAAAGACAGTTGGGTTCCCCGAGAAAGTTTCACATAAAAAAAGGCATTTGGCGCCCCAGAGAAGGTATTACATTTTTAAAAATGACAGTTGAGACCCCCGAGAAGATTTCACATTAGAAAAAAATTTGGGGCACCCGAGAAGATTTTACATTTTTAAAACAGACAGCTGGAACCCCGAGAAGGTTTTACATTCTAAAAAAAAAAAACATTTAGCGCCGCCGACGTTTTACATAAAAAAAAAATTGGGACCCCGAGAAGGTTTCACATTCTTAAAAAAATACATTTGAGGCCCATGAGAATGTCTTACATTTTTAAAAAAGACAGTTGGGTTCCCCGAGAAGGTTTCACATTAAAAAAAAAACATTTGGCATCCCCGAGAAGTTTTTACATTTTTAAAAATGACAGCTGGAACCCCGAGAAGGTTTTACATTCTAAAAAAAAAAACATTTAGCGCCGCCGACGTTTTACATAAAAAAAAAATTGGGACCCCGAGAAGGTTTCACATTCTTAAAAAAATACATTTGAGGCCCATGAGAATGTCTTACATTTTTAAAAAAGACAGTTGGGTTCCCCGAGAAGGTTTCACATTAAAAAAAAAACATTTGGCATCCCCGAGAAGTTTTTACATTTTTAAAAATGACAGCTGGAACCCCGAGAAGGTTTTACATTCTAAAAAAAAAAAACATTTAGCGCCGCCGACGTTTTACATAAAAAAAAAATTGGGACCCCGAGAAGGTTTCACATTCTTAAAAAAATACATTTGAGGCCCATGAGAATGTCTTACATTTTTAAAAAAGACAGTTGGGTTCCCCGAGAAGGTTTCACATTCTTAAAAAAACATTTGGCATCCCCGAGAAATTTTTACATTTTTAAAAATGACAGCTGGAACCCCGAGAAGGTTTTACATTCTAAAAAAAGAACATTTGGCGCCCCTGAGAAGGTTTTACAATTAAAAAAATTGGAACCCCCGAGAAGGTTTCACATTCTAAAAAAAATACACTTGGGGCCCCAAAGAAGGTTTTATATTTTTAAAAACGTCAGTTGAGACCTCCGGGAAGATTTCACATTAAAAAAAACACATTTGGAGCCCGAGAGAACGTTTTACATTTTTAAAAGGACAGTGAGGACCTCCGAGAAAGGTTTTACAATTTTAAAAAGACAGTTGGGTTCCCCGAGAAGGTTTCACATAAAAAAAGACATTTGGCGCCCCAGAGAAGGTTTTACATTTTTAAAAATGACAGTTGAGACCCCCGAGAAGATTTCACATTAGAAAAAAATTTGGGGCACCCGAGAAGGTTTTACATGTTTAAAACAGACAGCTGGAACCCCGAGGTTTTACATTATAAAAAAAAACATTTGGCGCCGGCGAGAAGGTTTTACATTAAAAAAAAATACATTTGAGGCCCATGAGAATGTTTTACATTTTTAAAAAAGACAGTTGGGTTCCCCGAGGTTTCATATTAAAAAAAAAAGACATTTGGCACCCCCGAGAAGTTTTCACATTTTTAAAACAAACAGTTGAGACCTCCGAAAAGCTTTCACATTCTAAAAAAAATACACTTAGGGCCCCCGAGAAGGTTTTATATTTTTAAAAACGTCAGTTGGGACCTCCCGCAAGATTTCACATTAAAAAAATACATTTAGAGCCCCAGAGAAGGTTTTACATTTTTAAAAGGACAGTCAGGACCCTCGAGAAGGTTTCATATAAAAAAACACATTTGGCGCCCCCGAGAAGGTTTTACATTTTTAAAAATGAGAGTTGAGACCCCCGAGAAGATTTCACGTTAAAAAAAAACATTTGGGGCACCCGAGAAAGTTTTACATTTTTAAAACAGACAGCTGGAACCCCGAGAAGGTTTCACATTCTAAAAAGAAAAAAACATTTGGGGCCCCCGAGAAGGTTTCAATTAAAAAAAAAATTGGGACCCCCAGTTTTCACATTCTTAAAAAAATACGTTTGAGGCCCTTGAGAAGGTTTTACATTTTTAAAAAAGGCAGTTGGGGCACCCGAGAAGGTTTTACATTCTTAAAACTACCTGGAACCTCGAGGTTTCACATTAAAAAAAAAAACATTTGGCGCCTCCGAGATGGATTTCCTTTTTTAAAAAAGACATTTAGGACCCCCGAGAAGGTTCCACATTTTTAAAAAATCGGTCAAAAGTTGTTTCGACAGAACTTCCCTCGCTCCTAAAGTACAATATATTTTACTTTTTTTTTCTTAATTTACTTAGTCTTACCTTCGCAACAAAAAACTGAAAACATGTTTAAAATGGTAAATTTTATCCGCCCCACTTCTCTATAAATTTACCCTTTTAAACATGTTTTTAAATTATTGTTGTGAAAAGAAAGCTATGTACACCAGCCCCTTTCTCAATTGTTACAAACGTTTTTATTGGTCGTGATTCTAAAGACGGAGCTTAATTGTAAAATCTTATTTCTGTAAAAGAAACTGTCATGTGAAACATAATGTCGTTGAAAGAAAATTATGTGTCAAGAAAAAACAAACAAAAAATTAAACCCGCCCACACACCCCAGTCTCAAATGCGACGAATTTTTCATTCGTTGTCAGACGGAGGGGCGGAGCTTAATTGTAAAATCGATGTTTCCCAAAACAAACATTTACCTTTAAAGTTTTAAACATCTTGGCGTGAACAGATGATTACATATATCTAGAAAAAAGGCAACATGTTTTA